CCCCGACCTTAACATGTATCAGCCTTCACGGTGCGTTAACGTTCGTGAACTCATGTTTTCTAAAAGAATCAAGCTCACCGCAGTTGAGATTGTGGGTTAGAATCCTTCTAGCACAAAACCACGAATCAGTTCACAATCATAGACCAGAGATCTTTCATCCACATATATTTGCTCTAAGAACGACATCAAAGCATGAAACTTTAAGTGGATACAATAAAATTCCGAGATGCCCTTGCATTGAGGAAATAGTAAAGTAATGCTATGTAGTTTGTGTCGACGAAGTCTTCCACAATATCTCATTAAGTAATCACAATATCTAAACACAAACATATTGCTGTTCTTTATCGGTTTACCTTCCATCATTGGAATGATAAACTTGTTAGCTAGTTTGAAGTGGTTAATGGACTGAATGAGCATTAGAAGCATGGATGTTCTTCATTAGCCCTATTGCACCAATTTATTACCGCGGGCTAGTGAAAGGTTTCCTTCACAGTAGGGTCAGAAAGATTTACCTGTTAAACAATGTGGTTAGCGAACTCAATATCCTTAATATCCTTGCTGTTCGATCACAGTTATTTATTCACTTAGAATCAGTCTTCTAGTTATGAAAATGCAAACGAAGATTTAGTGCACAATATCTTTTTATAATAGCTATTTAAGGGTGGTTACAAGGGAACGATGATTGCGCAATTTTCATCCTTTGTCTTGATCTTGCTTAACGGACTTCACGGCACACTTGTCGAATGATAGCAGTTTTCCCCTGTCAAAAGGTCACTCGGGCGTTCAGATGTTTGATCACAAACCCTGGCGGAACCATTGGGCAACTTTGAATGAACGTTAAAACGTTGACTACAGCAATTGTAATCGATTCTCCGATGGAGTTCAAGGATGGTTGTTGGAGTCAAAGCCTCGAGGTCTTCAAATGACTTGGAAAACAGTTAATTATGAGAGGGGAATGATGGTGACAGGGAAATTGTGGATCAGTTGACAAAGGATTGAAAAGAGGTTCTCGTATCTCGGGTGAACTGAAATCCATTTCGCCCGTACGCCGAGGTCACCAATTTGTTTCACCTCTAGCCAAGATGACGTCTTCAGTGCTTGTATCATTTCACAACCAGTCAGTCAAGTTAGTCTGGAACCCACGGTCTGTGACCGCATCGAAGGCTGCATTAAATTAACACGCCTGAGGGCACTTCACGGATTGATCAGAAAATGGGAAGAATGATGCAATCAAACCGTACACCTACTACCATGGACACCCACATAGAGACTGATCGGCACCGTCAGCAGACAAGGGATAGCAGGGCTTACTTCAACCGACATTTCACTGGTCGCGGACCTGGCGCAACGATACCAAACCGAGGGTCAATCTATCGAAGAAAAGTACTGCTTAAGCTGTCTAATCGACAAGAATCGCCCAACAATCATGGGAAAACAAACGGGATCATTCAGATCATTCTGTTACATGGCTGACACGTGGCCCAGTAGGAATCGATCAACGTTGAGAGATCCATCAATATACGATCGGTTGTATGAGAGGTTTCTGTGTGTGTGTGTGTGTATGTGCATGGGACGAAACAGAAATGAAGTACACAAATAAACACAAAATGATTCAAACCTGTTGGCGTAAACATGGCAAGTGTTGAGGAAAAATGGGGAAATGGGAATGGTGAAGACAATTGTGGAGTAGAAAAAAATATATAAACCAATAAATGAACAGTACATGGCTGCCTATGGTGAGCTTCTTCGATGGTGCTGTCTGATCAGAAGAAACAAAAAGGGCAACAACAACAACAATGAGAGCAACGACAACAAAGGTGTTTGATGATGCAGTTCCTTTGCTTCTACCGACAGAAAAGGAAGGCAGCTGTAACACTGGAATGCATTGTGAGACAAACAAGAAAACTGCAGTAAAAAAATAATAGTATTAATAATAGCAATAATAATATTAGTGTTGAAGAAAAAAAGAAACGTCAGATGTTGTCATTCTAGAGTGCTGTTTTTTCCCACCATTTCGAGTGGTACAAGAGGGACTGAAAGAAAATGATATGAACAGGAAGGCAGACAGATGCAAGACGAGGACAAAGCGGAAGTAAGGGTATAGAAACGATTAGAAGAAGAGTGACATTCAAATGTGTCAAACAAAACGGAAAAAGGGAATCAGGAGATCACAGGTTTTTGGTTCAGTTTTTCCTCATTCTACCGCTCATTCCGCTTTGTTTTTGTACCTGAACAACAAAACTCTGTTTGAGGTATTTGATGTTGTGTGGCTATAGTAATATGGTGTTGCTTTACATGTCGGATCTGTCAGTTTGCTTATCGTATCAGCAAACATGCGTGGGAAGGCAACCGGCACGCATTCGTAAAGACGCTTCTGTTCCATTCGTTGTTTTACCCTGAGCAGAAGACACACTGTGACTTCGCGGTTCATGTGTAGTTTGACCAGCGCTGGCAGGTAGATCGAAGGAACCACGACGTCTGGAACTGCTTGTCGAGTTGGTTTGACGTCGTCCGGTCGATTGTGACGGAGAGGTTAGCTTTGTTTGTGCTGCTGCTCCTGCTGCTGCTGCTGCTGCTGCTGCTGGTTGTGGTGGATGCGTTTGTGAGGATTGCTGGTGCTGATTAAATTGTGAATGTGGATAAATGGGAGGTTGGTGGTTCGGTTGTTGAGTATGCGAGTGTTCGCAGAATAATTCCAAATGTTGCGTGTTGAAACCACATTCCTCACAAATGTACAGTTTTGTTCGACGTTCTTTGAATGCATACGGTAATGGTTGACCGTGCACTTTTCGACAGTGCGATTCGAGTGAGCATCGTTGTGTGAATGCTTTCGGACAGTCGGAGCATTTGTACGGTCGTACACCTGTGTATGAAGCGTGGGAGGAGAGAGGTGGTAGAACGATTAAGAACAGTATGCGCGTGTTTCTCTCTCGCACGCGAATCAAACTAGTTTGTGTGNGTTTGTGTGCAGAACATTTCCAAAAGCGATAAACTGTGAATGTGAGCATAGCATAGGCGCTATTCGCCGCTGTCGTTTTAGCATGCCGCCAGTGTGCATACAACTAGTGATAAATTTTGGCAGAATATTTTATCTGATATGAATGGCTTACCTCAATTACATTGGCTCATGTCTCGGCAAGGAGACTTATTATGGGGCTAGAGCTATGTGGCCTAAAATAACCCTGGGCTAATTTGGCAGATACCACTCAGATGATTGGCTGCTATTACGTGCTTCCCATACTTGGCTGACACAAGTCAAGCCATGTACGTTCAAGTGAGGTACGTATGAACGCATCTGAATTATTTGGTGGACAAAACATGGATGGGTTAATTAATCCTGCCTCAACCATCTATCACTCCGAGTGATTTCCAAGTGCAACTGAGGTCAGATAAAAATATCTTTCGTGAAGTACGCAGACTGAACACTTTAACAACTTTAACAACAACGCCTCCCTCGTGAATGAAACGAGATAGATGGGAGAAAAGTTAAAAAACAGTAGATAATGGGTGGTGGTGCAGTGGTTTGCTACTGTGACTTTCGTGTTTTGAAACTCATGGTCCAAGGGGCGAACTCTACCAGCGCCACCCAACTTCGCCGGTAGGCAGCTTCGCTGGCCTTCTGTTTAGTACCACGCCTGAATTAGAGAGGTCTTATGTGGTGCGCAACCGATTCTTGTTAATGAAGGGTCCACCCCGTTTGCTGTTCATTACACAAAATGTGTGTGATGAAAAAGTAAAACGTACGATGAGTGCGGTGCAGCAAAGGATCTCGAAGAATGGTGTATACTTTGCGTGATTCCATTCACACGACTAATCAAATTTCTTCAACCAGAAAATAATAAAATGCATGCAAGAGTCTTGATCGTCATGGCAACGTAGCAGAAATGCAACTCGGCACGCTGTCTACTACGGAGACAAGGCGATTACCACGATGAGTTTGACAAAATATTGAAAATCGGTTTTCGTAGCTCGGGTGAACTGAATTCCATTTTGCCTGTTCGCCGAGCTTGGCAATTTGTTTGCAAACGTTTCATCACCAGCCGAGGTGACATCATCAGTGCTTGTGAAGTGGCAGTGTTCTGTCTGTAACCGTTCGTTTATATATGCGATCTTCTCCATCGGCTATTTTCGCCCCCT